CATGCAGGAGAAATTTGACAGCAACGACTATTTTTTCCCGCAATCGTACAACGAGCGAGTATGCGCTACCCCTAATAAGACGGAAAATAAAGAAAACGAAGGCGACGAAATTCAGAAATGTCTCACGGATTCCGACAAAGCCGAAGGTAATATAGTTTAGGAATGTAATTAAAAGCGCTGTTACACGGTGCAATTTCTTATGCAACTTACAATTCCACTTTTAAGGGATGTATATTTGCAGCTGCGAAACTAGACAATGAAATAGACCATGCATAGACAATGATTACACTACACGGACGTTTCTTTCACTTACATTTTGTAGACACTTCACTAATTAACATTCCCTAAAAGTAGAGTAGAAATACATTGTAAGTTGCAAGAAAAATTCCATCGTTTAACAGGACCTTTAGTTATAAACTCTGGTATTACACGAGACCATTGAATACTCGACATTGAGATTAACTCTTACCATGTGTAATTTTCTGTTTTTGTGTTGAATGGAATTTATGTCACACTTAGTATACCAAAAGTGGCGTAACGGACGACCCGAAATAATTTCGTAGATAACCAAATATACCCTCTCTAATAAACCTTCCTTACTGAAAAAAATACGCACCCTCGGGGAGGGAGAGAGCCAACGAAAAAAAAAGAGTAGGGGATAGATAATCGTCATATTAATTAATTAATTAATTATTCGTCTGGAAAAACAGCTTGTAGCTTGGGACTCTGGTGATAGTATGGGCTGCAGTATTAAGCTAGGAAGGTTTGCAATGTAGCGAGGGTTCTTGGATTTAGTCTTTGCCGGGAATCGGCTGGGCCTCTCAGGCAGATGTCTCCCCTCTATGTTACATAGAGGACGTTGTGATGCATTGAAAGTAAACGTGCAATTTTCATGGAATGATATTACATTTTTCTCAGATAGATTGTGCCCTCTTCGATTTCATGAGATATAAAGTTCCTTATATAGTTACCCCAGTTCTAGCTGGCCTGATCTTCGAAGCACGACAAGATCATCTTAAATGGCCCGTTTGGCTTGTTGGAAAGCCCCGATGGTCACATATCATCCTTTTGGGGATTTTTAGAGAAATTTTTACCTGATATGCTTCTTTCTTCACAGGTCAATTGCATTGCGTGACAAGATACACGAATTTAGATGTTGTCCGGATCCCGTATCCTGGAAAAGTTACAAGTGAACATTGGAAAGTAGAAACCATCCTCGTTCCAGTAGCATGCGAATGTTCTAGAACCGAGACTGTGAGAGCATATGGAACGTAGAATTGAAGTATTGAACTAAACTTTTAGTATCTAGTCAGCCTTCAGTTTCGGCGAGGTGAAATTTACTATTGACCTCTGATCGTAGTTTTAGACACATCTGCTTGAAACCACTCGAAGCCGGCCGGCTCCATATAGAGCAAGATTTATACTTTCTGCCCGGAAATTAAAACGACCATTAGAAATTGCCGCGGTAGCAGGTAAACTTGTAGCAGGTAAAGTAGCTTGGGCATATGCCAGCAGAAAATTATACAGTTACAGCGGTTTAGGTTCGTGTAAATTGAAGGGTTCGTAAAATTTTTAAAGCGTCGTGTGCATGGGTTTCTGTCTATGAAAAATGTAATCTTTACCACCCTATTTATTTTGTAGTGAAAAATAAAAATACTCCCTAGAAACTTTCTGAAAATCCTAGAAATTTAGGAATACTGCGGTTCTATTGTATTGTTCTGTAGAGAAAAACATCCCTTCACGCGAATTTTTTTGTCCACATCATACTGGCTGTGACACTGGGAACATTTCATGTCTGTTTTGTTTTTTTGTGCAAACATTTTTTTGAAAACGTTCCTTTTTTGCCCTGTATGAGATCATTGCTTGGTTGATATGGCGACAAAAAAAGTAATATTATCTGATTTGATAAAAGCGCGTGTGTCGGTGGTGATGAAACAGCACTAAGATGCAAACAAGAAACTGAATTTTGGGGACAGAAATTACGTACGGGCCATTTAATTTTTTATAGAAACAGATTTCAAGTTCAACCAAATGAATACTTTTTCGCAGCCAGACACCCTTGGACGTTCTCTGTTGGATTTTTTCTTTCTGTCACAAGAGCTGCCTTAAACAGTTTTTGTGTAGTGCATACAAAAAATGAAAAAAAATCTGGGTTTGGGACGATTTTCCCCTTCGTGTCTTCTTGCACGACAAGTTTGAAACCTTCGGCTACATGTTTTTTTGCAATCCAACCCCGCTTGCCGAAGAACTGAAAATATTTTCTCACTTTTTAACATAAACAATTTCTACTATTTCATTTCCAATTTTTTAATACACTCGTTACATTATTTTTAAAATAGATACCTTCGTACTTATCCAATATAGTATATATTTATAATTTTTACCCTTTTTACCTATGTTTAATTATATAACTTGCTGGCTTTTGTTTCTCAGTCCGATCATCTGTACTACAACTTTTACTACTACTTATTGTATCTATTTACTTCGTTCCATCCCACTTCATCAGTGAGTTTATCTTGGTTGTTTATCTTCCGCATCAATGTTTTTCTCAGGCGCGATTCACTTCCCCAAAGTTTGGAGAATCTATGTGCAAGAAATATAACCAACTGGTTTTAAGTACTGCATTGCGAGACCGCGCAATTTTTTTTCTGGTGATGTAAGCGGCGATGGAGAGCGTTATACTTGTAGGTGTTGAGAGCAAATCACGCTTGCAAAAATGTTTGCGCACTGCTCATGAATTATTGCCAAGGGCTTGCAGAGGCTTTGGGGGCCCGGGGTGAAAATTTATAGATTCCTTTCTTTTGCACCCTGTGGCGCCAGCAAAAGGGGTAAAGGGAAGTGGGGGGGGGGTGGTTGGGCGGCGGTTGGCTAGCCCTTAATGATTTTTAGAATCGGCTTGGATTTGTAAAAATCAATGCGAAGGGCAGGGGGTTTTAAATTTTGAGATTTTACCTGAAGAAATTTTCTCCTGGACATTACACCCTCATTATTGGGGTGCGGGCCAAATCTCCCCTTACACTCACCCCCCCCTACGAGAAGCCCTGAATATTCTAATTATGCACTTCCTTCGTGGAGTTTCCTTCCTTAAGCCTTACGGACAACGGAAGGTCGAAATGTGTATCCTACCCTCAATAGAGCAACAACTTACATTCTGTTTCGTTTTTTTCCAGCTGCATGCATGTTTCCTGCTACGCCGACACTAAAACATTCTACCTGCTGAACCAATATCATCATGGCCAACGTCGAGATGGTGAGGACTGTCAGGAACCTTTTCATCATTTCGTGGAAACTTTTAGTGCGGTATTTCCTGTTTGCAGCGTGTTTCGCGAGTGACTGGCGAATCAGTGCAAGATTTTAACCTTATACTGGCGTTCGGGTTGGATACGATTTCATTGCTAAGGCGTTTCATTAAGAATGGTGTTGAGCAATGATCGTTTTTCTTTCAACTTGCCGGCATTCGTCGAGATTTGAAGTTCAAATCTTTCAATCAGTCCATAGTTTGAATGAGCTGTAGTATTCAATAACTTGACTTGAATGATATATATGCATATGACGTTTGGATATACAGTAATTGGTATTGGCGTTTTTCTTCTATGCATGCACGCAGTTCTCATTACAAGGAAAATTACCTAATCACTTACTTAGTTTTTGAACTAAAATAAATGGTATAATATCAAAATTTAGATTTCTAGATTTTGAATGTTGTATTGATGTACTAAATTATGAAATGTTATATGTATACAGAATAAATTTAAAAAGTCGGTACAATCAGTTACCTGCCGTACAATTACGTTTTGAATATATAATATTAGCCAAGTCTATACATGCATGTATAAGAAAGAACACATATATACTTTTTAATATCCTAATGAGTTATTTATCGATGTCCTTTGCCCATGCCTAAGGTTTTTTGCTTGATGGGGAATTTTAACCACTAAATCGCTAGAAAATTTTAATCGAATCTGCGGCTTCAAATGACCGTATATATATATATATATATATATATATATATATATTATATATATATATATATATATATATATATATATATATATATATATAATATACCGTGTCCTATATCGATCACCGCAGCAAAGCCATCGAAGTTATAATATATAGGCCTAATTACTATAAACTGGAAATTTTATCCTAATTTCTTCAACAATTCCATGTCGGAAAAATATCTGATAGCTAAATATGCCAATCTTTTGTCACCGTTTTATACTAAGTAATTTAGCTATAGCTGATATTAGTGCATGTATAAAGTAAATCGAATCGGTCAAGCATGTATCGTTGAACGAAATGTTTGATAGTATATAGAAGAATAGCCGAAATCATTTTACAAGAATTTGTGATTTTGTACACGGTCAGCAAACCCAATGTTATGCAAACTTTTTTCATGCATTATTATTTATTATTGAAATTCGCATCGTTTCGTTTTTCACTTTGCTTGCCGTTCGAAACGATTGAGACAACAGGAGAGGTGACATTTAATTAACATTTAATTTTAAACGAATTGGTGCGTCAATTATATCATAATGATATTTCAGATTTCTATGGCGACGATCGAGATTTCTATGGCGACGATCGTAAACAATATTTAAATAGTTTCTTTATAGAACCTTTCCTGACATGCATGCATGCATGCTATAGTCTACAGCAATTTTTGCAAAAAAACCTTTTGAAAAATCTACAATCTATTACTTCCTCATTTTACAGACAAAAATCGTTTTAGAGTTGGAAAAGAAAACAATTGCCAGTCCGCTATGGCATGCAAGAGCCTTTTTAAAGACATAAAGTTTCTTAGATTCGTCAAGTTTGTTAGAAATAGCTTATCGAAAGCTTTAAGCAGCCGAAAAATTGTTGTCACAGGCGTCAATCGTCCGGATTTTTTTTACTCGTTTAATATCAAACGTAAGTGCATGTGTCCTATACGTGTTCAAGCAATTTCAAGCACATATATGTGGGTTTTTTATTCAAATTCACGGTATCTTGTAATAGATCTCTTCTTAATAACCGATATAGCCTTTGATATATAGCTATAATGTTTGTGATTTGGATATAGGCAAAGTGAATTGCCTCATGCATATGAATTTCTTATATATAAACCAGCATCAAAATAATGACGATGGCAAGGCCTTAATAATTCATCGTTAATTAAAACTACTCTAGCTAAAATTGCATGCAAATTTCAGCAGTCATACAAACAGGTGCATATTAGAAATATAATAATTACAATCAATAGTTTACATGATACTCCCGTATGCTATATTCCACTTTCGTTTCTATAAGCCCGCCAAATCATTACCCCGCGGCCTTTTAATATACAGGCATTCACTCAAGCGGCATATATTCGTACAAATTCTTACCAGCCAAAAGGCACTCGCATTAGTCTTAAATTTTTAACAAGGGTCGCAGTAAAAAAAATTAGTTTTGTATTATACCATTAATATTGATAGGAATCTTCTTAAATTGAAGAACTGCGCAATTCGCATAAAGATATATATGTCAAAATTACTGCTGCTGTTGCTAGACGAGCGGCGTAAAAAAGTAAACCCGGCATGGCAAATATTCAAAGGGAAAATGACATCGCAAAGGTGTGCATGTTTTACGTAACGTTTGTAGCGATACTGGGCTGTTTTCCGGTCGAATCGAGGTCGAGTAAAGTGATAAAACTCGGCGCTATGTTTTCGACGGAAAATTTAACAAATTGCCTTCGCGATCGCCTGTGGTTGATCAACAAAAACCTGACCCTTTCGAACCGATCGTTGGAATACAAGCTGGTGAACTACTCCATGAACGACAATCCGATTCGTGCTGCATTAGACGTGTGCGAAAACATTCTGAATGAGCAGGTCTTTGCCGTGTTCGTGAGCGAGGACAATTCCGCGGCGAACGATGCGGTCATCGGTATCTCTTACACGTGCGGGTTTTTTGACGTTCCTGTTGTTGGGATCGATGTGAGGGATGCAATATTTTCTGATAAGGTGAGTGTAGAATAAGGCAGGTGTAATTTGTCTTCGACATAAAGTTGGACCATTTTGCACGAAACAACTTTATAATGCTATATCACTCCCGCGCTTTGAATACCGCCTTGAGCATGATTGTCTTATGGGGGGAAGGTTGATATTAACACATTTTTTTTTGAAGTCATTTGAGCATCGCTAAAGGAGCCACTGTTGCAATAAAGACTCGATCATCCGTTGTGAGCTTGTGGACGAATTTTTGCATATGAAATTCTTATACAACCGTTTTGCATGAAACGCTAAACGGTTGTACTTACTTCGAACAGGTGATCGGCAAAGAAGATATATAAATTCATATCCTACCCTCATAACACGAAATTAGCTTCAACTCCTCGAGTGTGTCAGTGTATGGTATTTTCCTCAAAGATTTCCTTATATGTGTATTCTGCAATGCATCAGGGCTGTTTATACGGTGCTGACGAGTATTGTCGCTTCGGCTCCGGGAGTTTACGACATACGATGCGATACATATTATAAGGTCTATTTTCCACTTTCGCGTTTTTCATACGCACGTACACGCACGTAAAAATCTAAATCCTTATCAGTAAGTAATCTTTAAAAAAGTGAATAAATCGAAAGAACTTAGTCTTAGTTTTCCGCGTAGTTTAGTTTGCAAACCTTTACGTGCGTGTACGTACGTCCTAAAATCGCGACAGCGGAAACGACGCTGCCGCATTTTAAGCTTCAAATATATATAAGCTTCAATTTTTCAATGAACGTTACGACAAACGAAAAAATTCTGTCGGGTTTTTAACTGATAATACTGCTCTATGCATTAACGTTATAAAAGCACTCAGCATGCATGCAGCTGCTGACTTATCGTCGAGGAGCTACGAAAATGTTATATCTTAAGGCGTCAGGAAATGGCAACGGCGGCGTGAAAAATTTCTAGACTCCATGTTATTCATACGTTTTATTGTTTCAATTTTTATCGTTTCAACAGCATGAATGAGACGTAAATCGCGTAAACTTTGAATATTATAAAAAAACGCGTGCCGTTTAGGATCAGTTTACAACGCGAATCCTAACGGCGACGGCTAATAATTATAATTCGAGAACCAGCAAAAAAAATGAATGAATAATTAATGCAGAAGCTATAGACGTTGCTATACCCTGTCTATATGTATAACGGCAAACCAAACATTCTGCTGTTCCTGACGAAATGTCTAATCTAAAAGCTTCGTCGTAACCCTTTAATTTGTAGAACTGGTTACTGTGGAATAATTTAGTAAAACTTCTATCAATCTTGAGGCTGTATATATATATATATTGTTTTACGCCGTCAAAACAAAATACTTGAAATATAAGAATACACACTTCTCATGTATGGCATGCATCGCGAATTTATTGGAGTTTGAAGCTGATACGATAAGAGTTTTTAGATTAATAGAAGCATTGTACTAAATAATCATTTTTATCATCAAATATTCAAAGTCTACATTATGTAAACATCATCATAAATAATTAGTTATAATCTATAGCTATTTGCTTATATAGTCTAAAGAATTAATGTCTTTCAAATAAAGTCAAAATAGCATCGCAATTTGTTGCCTTGTTTTATAGCTATATATAACTCATATCTTGAGTTTTGTATAAGATTTTGTTTTTCAAAACATATTTTTTCTTACATTTCATCAAATTGTCTGCTGACCAAGGTTTTTTACTGCTATTTATAGTTTTGCCAATCATCAACCACAGTATTTTTCCTGTTTTAGAGTGTTCACCCTTCATTTCTCCGAACAGTGCCTCCATTTTACAATCAAGCAAAAGTCTGGGTGGAGTTTTTAAAGCATTTCAAGTGGAAGAAAGTGCTGACCATTACAACCAATGAGTATGAAAGCAAAACTCTCCTTGCAAAATTTCTTGCTCTAACTTCAAACAGCGATATTAAGGTAATAGTCCTGTAAAGGAGTTTGTATGCATTTCATTTAGGACAGATTATCTCAACTGTTTTAGAGTAAAATGACCATGGCGGTCAACATGGTATACGTGCCAAAATCTGAATCCGGGACGAAAGTCCTGAAAATGACCACACCCAGAAACAGCATAGTCGACATAGCTCTAAATCCTAAATAATCAAAGCTAAAATCTTTCTGAATTGTTTATATGGTTCAGAATAGTTGCTTTTAGGGGTGGTCACTGGAGGATGAAATTAGCCTAAGTTTCATATTTTACAAGAAAATGAATGTTTACCATTCCAGGTCAACTGCTAATTATGCATAAGATTACAGATTTACCTGGCAAAGTCTAATTTTTCCTATTTTCTAAAAAATTTTGCCATATGATGAAAAATCATGCTTCGTTTAGTATATTTATTATACATTTCCTAGGAAATAACAATGTTTTGTTGCGATACGACATATTTTATTTCACTTACCCCTGCCAGAACACGATTTCAGCCATAATTTGCAAATTTGATCGCCGTTTTTCGCCGTCCGTAGCAAGCGCCTTCCAGAAATATTTACTTTAGCACGATTCTACTTGACTAAAGAATTATTCAACCAATTTTCGAAGGGTTTTGAAGTAGTGCCATGTAATATTTTTTCATTTTTGTGTCCCTTGACATTTCATCAATTATGTCGCCATTGCAATGTTTCGCCGCCTTTCTGCACGATAAATGCCACTTCTTCATCCCCAGCTGAATTTTTTCACAGCAACGATAAATAATTGATAGTACAATAGCAGCTATCCAAAATTTAAAAGCATTTGTCCAACTTGGAAGTAAAAAACCTCCCTTCGTTTATCCGGGAATGACGTTCATGTGCGAAAGATTCAAACTCCGCTAGACCGCTACGAGTCCTCTTGGACAGCATTACGGGGGGACGAAAATTCAAGCATACATTTGTTCACAACCACAATCAGTCAACAACCCGAGTAAAATTTGTCCGTTTTGCTGTTAATATTTCTAATGGCAAAATTAACAAGTCTCCGCGTTTAAATTGTGTGTTCTTGCTTAGTTGCTTTCACAAAGTTGAAAAATAAATTAAATGTATTCGTGTCGTGAAAATGTAACCCCCCCTGCAATGTTGCCCACGAGCGTTTGTCGCACAGTGTGCGCTAGACTTTTAAATTATTTTGAATCTTTGCACTTAAATTTCACTCCCGATAAACGAGGGGAGGTTTTTTACTTACAAATGGGACAAATGCTTTTAAATTTTAGATAGCTGCTATTGTACTATCAATTATTTATCGATGCTGTGAAAAAAATACAGCTAGGGATCAAAGAAGTGGCATTTATCGTGCAGAATGCGGCGATATATTGCAATTATGGCGACATAATTGATGAAATGTCAAATGTCAAGGGACACAAAAATGAAAAAAATATTACATGGCACTACTTCAAAACCCATCGAAAATTGGTTGAATAATTCTTTAGTTAACTAGAATCGTGCTATAAAGTACAGTATTTGGATGGTGCTTGCGACAGATGGCGAAAAACGGCGAACAAATTTGCAAAATATGGCTGAAATCGTGTTCTGGCGGGGGGTAAGTGAAATGAAATATGTCATATCTCAACAAAACATTGTTATTTCCTAGGAAATTTATCGTAAATATACTAAACTAAGCATGATTTTTCATCATAGGCAAAATCCTTTAGAAAATAGGAAAAATTAGACTTTGCCAGGTAAATCTGTAATTTTATGCATAATTAGCAGTTGACCTGGAATGGTAAACATTCATTTTCTCGTAAAATATGAAACTTAGGCTAATTTCATCCTCCAGTGACCACCCCTTAAAGGAACCATTCTGAACCATATAAACGATTCAGAAAGACTGTAGCTTTGATAATTCAGGATTTAGAGCTATGTCGACTATGCCTTTTCTGGGTGTGGTCATTTTCAGGACTTTCATCCCGTATTCAGATTTTGGCACGTATGCCATGTTGACCGCCATGATCATTTTATCCTAAAACAGTGAGATAATCTGTCCTAAATGAAATGCATACAAATTCTTTAACAGTTCCTAGACTATAAGCAATGATACTTCATTGAATTTAGATAATTATTTCACATTCACTTCATTGAATTTAGATAATTATTTCACACTGTACTTTATGAGATTAGTCCACTCAAAATCATTATGTCTTTGCCTATGTACAGCTTAGCTCAACATTAAATACATACGCGTTTCGCAAAACAAGTGTTGATCTGAAGACTTTTTTACTCTTTGATTGACGCTGTACAGCGAAATAGGGCCCATAATCTCCCATATTTGGTGGGTACTGTATCCTATATTTATTTCTGAAACACTGATACTGAACATTTAACTCTAGATAACTTAACTTGAGATAACTTAACTCTGCTTTGTTATTATCTCAGTGTAAATTCTTAGAATAGAATTTAATTCGTATATACAGCAAGTAGGTAATTCTGAAGCCGATTGTATGAAAGCCGGATAGCGCTATCCACCAGATAGTGATTTTTTGCCCGTTTTAAAAATGCTTGAAAATTTCATCTTTGGAGCTAACAATTATTAAAGAGGATCCTCAATTTAGGATTACTGTAAGATTTAATCAAATTAAGTTATAGAAAACAACGGGCAACTTTAAAGCAATTGAAAAAAACCACTATCCGGTTGATATAGCGCTATCCAGCTTTCTTACAACCGGCCCCAGATTTCTTAAAACTGTATTATGCATGTTATTAAACCAGTTCTATATCTGTCTATCTTGATTGCCAAGTGCATGCATGCATGAACTATTAGCCATGTAGTTCTAACATTTACAGAGGCTCTTTGCATAAAATATGTTCGTGAAAATTAGCCAAGACTATGTTATAATAGTCTTGAATTTCAACATTCCATATACTGCTAGCTTTAAAGGTATGTTTATAACCTGGGAAAAAGCCAACTTCTGTAGTTAGTAGTAATTTGAAATTTCTACAGCGGCCTGTGTAAAAAGATGGTGAACTGGACAATCAGGATTGGCCATCAATTGAGCAAATTGCACACTATATAAACGTTAAACTCTGATGTTTAATATTTTACATTGAAATCTTCATTTTAAATAGTGCCAAGATTTGTAACTCAATGAAAGATTAATTACTTTGCACCTCACAATGCTAACCAACTTCTGTGGTTAGTCCCTTCTTGTCTGTATTGTATGCAAATTACGTTTTGTCCAATTGTCTGATAATTTTTAAAAAAAGTTAAAAAAACCCAGACAGTACTTGTAAGCAATCATAAGGCTAAGTTTTCTTTGACATATGTACTTCCCACAGAGAGTGCTACAGTCTGGCGAAAATTGATAATCTCTGGCATGTGCAGCTGGTCCATGATCAGGAAGGAGAAAATTATATTCAAGCTGTATAATTGTCACTCACGTGCATGTTCAATATATAAACTGGATCACTGATTCATTTGTATAGGTGGAAAAATCCATTCAATTGTTACCTGGAGAGTTGAACGTAACTGCGGAGCTGAAGAAACTATCAAAAACCATCTCCAGAGTGATTCTGTTCTTTGTAAAGTAAGTATATAGGATACGTGTATGTGATTATCATCTCACGGACCAGTATAAATTATTCTATCAGGAACGTGATGGGAATGCATGGGAAAGTGGAACATTTCGCCGAAGGCACCGCGGTAAACACACGGATAGGATAATGTGTGCCAGATAAATCGAGATTTACTGATAAAAAATTATCTATATAAATTATTATATCAGCTAGGTTTTTCTAAAATACAGCCGCATTTCTTTTAACATGCATTTTTAAGCAAATTCAGTTTCATTTAGCCTGGCTGTAACGGAATTAAAATCCAAGTCATGAACTATTTGCCATTCCTACAGCAGCCTGTGACAAACATTTTCAAAGCATGGAATTAACTGAAAATGATATGGCCTATGTGAACATTAAACTCTGACTACGTTTAATATTTTACATTGAAATCTTTATTTCCCGATGTCGATCATTTGTCACAACACAATACAATTATTACGCATATACATGTACAATAACAGAGGACATAAGTGTGACAGAGGAAAGGAACAGGACTTGCGTCCCAATTGACACCTGACCCCAACATTATAACTAGACTTTGCCACTTGTCGCCCACCAACCTATCGCAATGATAACATTCATATGATTCATGACGAAAGTACTGCAGTAATTAGAAATTAATCGATGAAGATGATTTTGCAGAATTAAACGAATCCTATAAAATTGCCCGCTATATTATATCTATACAGTTCTAGTGTTATTTTGTTCTTAGTAACGAAGATGCAAAAGTAATCTATCGTGATTCATCAAAGCTTTTGCTGGACAGAAAAGGTTACGTGTGGTTGGTGGCAGAACAAGCATTGACTGGACATGACGGCACCTTGTTGGCTCCGATCGGTAAATGTCTCAAAATCTTTTGTCGATGTTTCTTAACCATCACCAACAAAATAATGTAGACCGTAAACGACTTGCATTAAGGGCCAGAAATTCAAAAGAAAAACTCCAAAATGTCGCAGAGAAATGCATAATTTTCAGCCGTTTAGGTCTAGTTACAGTGAGTAGGAATACAAATAACTTTTCTCACCTGGAAGGCTTTTGTACATAAAATTCTTCAAAATATTGATAGCGTTAAAGTTAAACATACTTTAGAATTTTGCATCATAATCTTGTTATTAAACTAGCCTCGGCCCACATTGATCATGCAGTAACAGTCATTCTCCTTCTATAGGATCAATCAGCATTCAACTAGTTCAGGGATCAGACGAAAAGGCCCATTTATTTGATTCTCTCGACATTGTGACCGGGACAATAAATTCTTTGGAACTAGACGATGGCCTACAGAACATTAAATTCTTAGACAATGGCTGCCATAGTTCGACTCCGTGGTCTGCCGGTAGAAGCATTTACGAGTAAGAGTGCCTGTTTCTGAATGTAAACTAGATTTCCCTTTGATCAGGGCGTGGCAACCAGGGGTGTGTTAACGGATGTGATACCCCTAATTCACAATAAGAAAAAATACTTTGTTATAAATAAGAAAATACAGCAACAACTATATATGCAATATTTAGGGATTAGTCATATTCAAAATAGCCTGTTTCCAAAAATCTAGAGGATTTTCTCACTCTTCACCAACTATTACCCGCGTATTACCTATATTAAAAGCGTAGTCCATGTACGCGGAAGGAAAATTATCTTACTTTATCAAAGTTTTTCAGTATCAAATGACGCGCCCATGCCTGTGGTATGTACTTTATTTACTCGTTCAAAGTGTATTATCCATGCAACATTTGAAAGAGCAATTGGCTGGCAACTGTGTTCTTCGTGCAAATTTAAACCAAGTTTAGAATTAAGTGTAAAGTCTCATTTAAATGACGCTTGATCATTCCACATGCCCCCCTAATACCCTCTCTTTTGCGCAATTTTTAAAAATCCTAATCTGGAATATCCAGAATATAGTATTTTATTACAAGTTTATGACGAAATTCTGCTCAAAATCATATTGATTACTTCTCTCCGTATATTTTTCATCAATTTCATCCAATACGAATCCTAACTTTTGCTACAGGAAATTACTGAACACATCAATGCAAAACGGTCTCACAGGAAATGTCGAGTTTAATGATTTGGGTGACAGAAAACACAACAGATACAGAATAGTGAACGTTCAAAAGTCGGGTGTTCACGAAATTGGTGACTATCAAGATGATCTTGTCAGGATTACTGGCAGTATTGTATGGTTAGGAGATACCAATGAGACACCAAAGGGCACATACTTATCTAAACATTTGAGGGTATGTACTCTCTAAGGGCTGGTTTTCAGTCAGGAAAGTTATCTTCCTGATCAATAAGTATGGTTTTTTTGTGCTTAAAACAATTAGTTTTGGTTGAAAACACATGGAATAAGAAACTCTTCTGTCCGATACGGTCCGGTGGATAGTTTTCCTAATAGTTTTTGCTAACCTTCATGAAACTATATTCGTTTTGAAATTGACCTTGGGAATTTAGTCAGTTTCTTGAGAAATTTTTCATCATATTTAACAATTCTGATTAATCTATTGACATGACTGTTCTGACTTACTTCATGCTAAAAGAATTCTATTTGTGAAAAGATCAGTTCTATTTCAAATTTTAGTGAGATTAGTGTTGTATGTAACCTTTTAAATCAATATATGTTTAGATTGTTACAGTCAAGCAACATCCCTTTGTGTACGTAGAAGATCGCCCACCAGGAAATGGCACTTGCTCTGATCTAAATAAGGGGAATAAATACTACGTGGAGTGCACTGGAACGGTGTTTGATCTACACGAGGACCATGACAAAGAATATGGCGTTCATTGTTGTTCTGGTAAGAAATACAAATTTTACTCTTTGTACTGTGCTGCATGAACTTTGCTATACCATGAAGACAGGTAAGTATCGGTTATTATGCACCATGAGGAAAGGTGACATCAGGAACTTAAGGGAAGTGGTATGATTTCGCAATCTTTTTATTGAGGCTGTGATGCTCAGCTCATGAAGTTATGTTTTAAAGGTTTTTGCATTGGCTTGCTGAAACTGCTTTCGGAAAAGATCAACTTCACATATGACGTGCATTTGTCGGAAGACGGACGTTTTGGTTCCTTTGTTAAAGTGGGTAAAAGTTTACAAACTCAACTCCCGTATTTTAAACGGATTATTTCCATAAGAAAATGCTTTTTCAACATCAGTTTGAGTAACATCACTTTGATGATTGCCAAAGTCAATTACTAATTTAGCTATGACGATCAATTTGACAGAAACCGGGAAGCGAAGAGAAAAGATGGAATGGAATGGTGGGAGAAATACTGGAAGACAAAGCAGACATGATCATCGCCTCTCTGACAATCAATAATGAAAGAGCTAGGGTCGTTGACTTCTCAAAACCCTTTAAATATCAAGGAATCACTATTTTAGTGAAGAAGGTAAGGCAGGAAGATGGACGTATAGTTAGAAAAATTGCATCTTGAGCCGTTTGATCACTACAAGACTTTAGCCATCATTGACAGGTAGGAGTCATACCAGTTTTGGCTGGGAAGTCTAGTTCTAAATTAAAATGATACCATTTATTGCTCAAACGATGCCAAATATGAAAATATGCATGCTTTTTATTTTTTTTAGAGTGAGAACCCGAGCAGTTTGGGCTCGTTCCTTCGACCATTTCAAATTGAATTATGGCTGCTAGTTTTGTTGTCTGTTCACGTGGTGGCGGTAATACTGTACCTCCTGGATAGATTCAGTCCATTTGGTAGATTTCAGCTTGCCAAGTCTGACAAAGATGAAACACCGCTTAATCTATCGAGCGCAATGTGGTTTTCCTGGGGAGTCTTGCTGAATAGTGGGATTGGAGAAGGTACAAGACCCTTTCATTTGATGCTCATTAACCACGATTCTTTTTCAAAACTGCTACAAAAAGGTCCAGTTGCCGTACTCAAACTTGCGCAATTCGTGCATAATAAGCACGACACTCAACAACTCTACACTCCAGTGCAAACTGACTGTAAATAACTGGAAACGCTCTGTCATGTTAGGGGTGCAGTCAGTAACGTAGCCAGCGTGACAATTTGTCCCGCTATGCTAATATTTTGATGTTCATTGACTGTGAAAACAATTAATTTCTAAAGACATGAATAATTATAATAGGTCGAAATTTACATAGCGGGACAAAATCGTCAGGCTGACTACGCCACTGGGTGCAGTGTATAGGCTAGGCCTCCGGCTGACAACTCGTTTCGTTAATATTTTCTTCTCGTTGCGTTAACATAAAATGTACTATGCCAGATGCTTTTGTATATAGGTACACCTAGAAGTTTTAGTGCTAGAGTACTGGGGATGGTCTGGGCAGGATTTGCTATGATAATTGTCGCTAGTTATACTGCCAACTTGGCAGCGTTCTTGGTTCTCGATCGACCAAAGGCAGTCGTGTCTGGTATTGACGACCCACACGTATGTACGCATTCGAACTTTAGTAAAGCTTGATGCTCTGCATGTATATGTCTATGAAAACATTTCAAGAGTGTGCAATATTTATTTTGTTCATTAGTTCATATCGTTTTCAAAATGTTCAGCTGAAACTTTCGTGAGAGCTTTCGAAATTCGCATGGATTAACGCAAGCGCCAACCCGTTTTTAGCTGGGGATGGATCAATTGTCTTGACTGAAACTCCCCGATCATCCATCAAGGACTATCAGTAAAGTTCGTTTCACTTCATGAGATGGAATATCTTTTTACTTTATCATAAAGCAAGATAATGGCGGCGCCAGGGGGGGGGAGGTGGTGGGAATTGTAGGTCGACTGACTTTTTCGTAATGGTTTTGCAGACATCAAAATTAATTTCCATACATTGAATTTTTACTATTGAATCTCTATTACTTTAGCTACGAAATCCTACGAGCAGTTTCACGTATGCTACAGTTGCAAACAGCAGTGTTGATGATTATTTCAGACGTCAGGTTGAACTCTCTACAATGTACACGTTCATGAGCAAATATAATGTGGATTCTGCCGAGGATGGGATTGAAAAAGTGCGCGATGGGTAAGTTAATCACATTAGCAAAAAGTGGACTCCGATCTCGTTTCCAGGGCTTTTCCCGAAAAAAAAACGCGGGCGGTGTATCTGCATGAAAAATAAAATGGTGCCCGCCTGCCCTCTCAATCTTTGTTGCTTTCAGTTCTATTATACGATTATAACACAAATTCCTGCATATAGTAAATACTGCTGGCAAAAATATAAATAGAAATTGCATTTTTTGTTGGTAACCTATTTGGACAGGTATTTGAGAATTCATAGAACTGATAGAAGAGACGCTCTATATTTGATACTTTTCCGCAAAAGGTGCCAATGATTACACGCTCTTTCCGTGGTTACTAGAGGTTCTGAACAGAGTTTTAGTAAAACTTTATCTACTGTGTATTCTATTATAGGGAATTGAAAGCTTTCATCTGGGACTCGCCAATTTTGTACCACGAATCTTCAAAGGACTGTTCATTGACGACAGCAGGTGAACTGTTTGGACGCTCAGCCTATGGTATTGGATTACCCAAAGATTCACCGTGGACAAATGAGGTGTCGCTTGCTATCCTTAACTTTCACGAGAGTGGTAAAATGGAAGCGCTGGAAACGGCTTGGATTGATATTGGAAATTGCCCGGAAAGCAGCAATGCACCAGCTACACTCGGTCTGAGTCACATGTTAGGTAAGGCAGTGGTGATAGACTGAAAATTTGATCTCTCTAGACCAAGGACGAATGACCGGAAGAACGATTTTCCACGTTTTGATATGGTTTGTTATTCGGTAATTTTTTGTGAAAATATTCACCCCTTACCCAAAGTTTTGAGGCACGAACGCCTAAAAATTTGCTTTAAAAAAGCAGGAAAAAAATTTAAGTCTCAGCAATGCAAATACAATGTAGGATGCAAATACGAGAATGAACTGCTAACATTTTTGGCTTCCAAAACTGCCTTCTTTTAACGTCCGTAGAAAGAACCGAATGATCAAAATTGACCGGTAGACCGTTTTTTTTTTCACTTTTGGACCATGGTCTCGTGTTTGTTTTGGATCATGTTTCTGATGCTTTGCGCACATAATTAAGGGTTAGATGGTTAGATATAGTTACTGGAATATTTCATGAAGGCTGTTTTTCTTACCAGAGGATCTGAGTTGCATCTCTCAGAAATTTCTAGTTTATAGAGCGTAGTTCATTAATTTTTTGTTTAATCTGAGGCGTATATATATATGCGACTGGAAAAACAAGTTTGAAGTTTATTGAATAACTGAAATACCATTTATTTTAGGTGTGTTCATAATGGTGCTGGCAGGCATAGGTGCCGGGGTCATTATCATTATCCTTGAGATACTGTATCACAAACATCGTGGATGGCGTGCCGACCAAAGAGATCTTGCGAAGAAGACCACTGAATTATGGAAAAGTAATGTTATGATGACAAAAAATGGTCGAACTCACGCGAAGGAAAGCAATGGTGTGAACGGTGAACAGAATGGCCACGCGGTGACGGAGTCGGTAAGAACCAACCCAGTTTTCGTAACCGATGCAGAGCTTTATTGAACTATTATATTAAAATCATGCACGGTATTAATATTAATATTGTGCACTGTATAGTCGCTTGGCGACTGCATGTAGACAACGTTTACATGCGCAATAAACTTTTATATAAGTTACAATAGACATAAGTTACCATGCAGGTAATTCTTAGTAATTCTGGGGAGTTGAGGAAATGGTAATCTGTTACGGAAGCAATTAATATCCTATAAGGACGGTTGTTCGAAAGGCGTTTAGCTTACAGTGCATGGATAAGTTTAAAATTACCGTCATACATCTTGTGAATGACTGGGCCTACATATTATGCATTAAATAGTACACTGCATTAAAAATTTATATCCAAATATATTTAAGTTTAGTTGTTCAATAACCTAATTTTGTTTACCATTGTAATTTGTAAACATATATCGACCGCTTATAAGGTAAACAAACGTCTTTCGAACAGCCGGACGGCCCTGGATTACAGACGGCCCTGGATCGCCGTATATTATGTATATATATACATGGCTGCTTTCCACTTGATATATAGCCTATCGCACACGTAAATGTCTATAAATCGTTATATATGTCATATTTGAAAAAGCTAGTTGAATAAATCGGAAGTGGTTAACATTGCACATTGGAATAATTCCTGATTGCACGTCATCTTATCAAAATAAATATGAAATATAAGGTCGTAACAAATGTGATCAAAAGTTTCAAAACCAACCGTACCACCGGCTTCCACTGAACTTCGGCTTGTCCTCAGAATCAGCTGAAATATCACTTCGTCGACGTTTGAGCTAACCTCTGCGCCCAGAGTCCGATTAATATTGTTGTTTAGATTGCAACACCACATTCGCAACCTTACATTATTCTGGTAGTTCAACTGATCCTTTCATCCTGGTGCTCGCGTTCCCAATAAGTAGTTTCCCCAACCTTTTTTAGAGTTCACCTTTCAAGATCTCTTCTTCGCTTATATATTGATTCTAAAAGCCTGACGAAAGTACTTCGCGGCGGTGATGTATTTCGCGGCTTGATATTTTATGAGATAAAATGATTTATACTGGCGAATTTGTGTTCGCCTAAGTTGGGTGACGGGTCGCCATTTTTTCTCGAATTATCCGGCCAGATTTCAAAGCCAGAGAAGCGGCCACCGATTTGCATGATGACCGAGATTATATGGGTCTTATCATTATACGATTTTAAACCTAAAATGACCGTGCATGTCAGTACAAAATAATGCAGGACTTGGCCTAAGTTGAAGCAAGGTAATGCTGACATAAAAACCCGAGTAAAAGCATGCAAGCTTGTATTAGTCCAGTCCTCGAGTGTTATGTTTAAGCCAGGTACTCAGCTGGTCATTAAAATACCTCATGGGACGATATTGAACGCATGAAAAAGAAGAGAATATCTCAATATATGCCCCTTTATGAGATTAATTTAAACTACTCACAGGACAATTTGGAAGCATAAACAAATAAATTGGCGGTTGTTTTTCAAATCTCTAAAATGGGGTAAAAAATACGAGACCTTTTAAGCAGTGTCAAATAAAGAATACAGCCTGTGGTTCGGTTCTTAAGAAACAGAAAGATTTCGAACATTTCTGTGGAAAGAGTTTACAATATCATAAAAAATGAGCCTCCTGCCATATCTGCCCTCAACTTTCGACCTTCCAATGCATGTTTTTTTTTCTCTTTTTATTCACTACGGATCCTATAAACCAGGTTTGGATCGAGTTTGCCTTTTGAACTAAACTTTGCTGTGTGGATATATTTTGTTATTCAATCTTATATTAAACAAGTCAAAATGTTGTGATTATGAGTCATAAAAACTATAGCTCTGAAATAAATTTGAAACCAAAATATACCTCCAGAGATATAAACATTTCCACTAAATGGATTTTTTTTGACAACTAGCCTTAATCCTTTCCCGCCATTTTAGATCACCTGGTGGGCAAGGCTTCGCTGAAGTGCGTTACAGTTGGCCTATTTTACTAGTTGTATTTTACAACCCAAATACATTGCATGGTTTAGGCCTGGTTTCCATTTAATCGTAACTGTCCTGAACAAGTCATTTTAACCGATGAAAAATATAGCGCGGATATAAATTTATCTTTATTTTTGTATTCAAATCGCGGTCATTGTTGACTGCACACTCAAGAAATATTCCATCACATAAACCACCTTCACTTCTTCACCTGGCATTAGTAACTTAGTATCCGTATATTGTGGGGAATACGGCGTGCATGTAGTGGCCTAAATGAATAACAACAGTTTGAATTAACAGCGTTAATATCTTTAACAGCCCAAACCGAAATGAGGACTTAGATACGGCATAATGAGGGAATGGGGTTTAGCTCCTTAGCCAAAATCCGGGCTGGTTGTGCAATCATTTCAGCTGAAATTAAAATCACATATGTGAATGAAAATTCAACCTTGCAGTTGGGTTGACTTGTCGTTGTGTTGTACTGAACTGTCTGAATATGTATTTAAATTGAAACACGAGTCCGTATAATAGTTTAACAGTCACTTGTTTTATGAAACTTCCCGAAGGCGACACGCGTTAATAACAAAAGGTCTGATTTCATTGGAGGGAGAGAGCTTTCAGTACCTTGTACATCTTGCGCAACCGTGGCAATGCATTAGCATGAAGTATAACCTTTGTTATTCTATTTATAAACACAACTAGACCGCCAGTATATGACAGCCCATTGAGGTGTAAGGAACACGGGATACAAGTGTGCAAAATTGACCGCATACAACTATTACAAAATATTCTGGAAAAAAATTCTTGGATTTCTTGATGTGAATATAAAATAAATAGTAAATTATTGGATTCCAGGAATCACACCCTCATTTACAAGTACTCGATAGAGATGAACTTCTCTGTTACAGCGTGTCGAGAATTTCATCATATCTCTAGTCTTGATATCCGATCTAGTATAATTAAGTATCTTTGCTGAAAATTATAAAAAAATAATGAAAGATGACATTATCGTAACAGAATTAAAATATTCGAAGACGAAGTGTGACATATTTTGTGGTTTCATTTAGACCCTTATCGCCGATATGACTAGTGCACTGTCTCAAACGGGAATGGTCATGGTGGCAATTTCAAATAATAATAATTTAGAGTAGACGCGCGATAATTTTATATTTATGTCAATACGTATTGTTTCCCGTAGCATTTTGAATTGAAAATCAATCAGCCCTATCAAAACAGTAACACGATCATTCTGACGCGAGTTTCTTGAAAAACGCGAACCGTGAATCACGGAGTATGCACCTTATTATTTTAAAGGATATTTTACGAGCCAAAGAAAATACACTAATAGCCATTTTGTTAATCCGCCATAGGCGAGCGTTGAGAGAATGTTTACTGTGCCAAATACGCACAACATTGCACGAAGATATTTTTAACAGACCGAGTCGGAAAAAAACGTAAATTGGACTTACCAGTTACGAAAACAACCTTCGCTTGTGAGATGGTTTAACTTGAGTTACGGGAAGTAACAATTTTAGGATATGGTAAAAGCATTGCCGAGAAATTTAAGCCATGTTCAAAATACCAAGCTGCCAGCTTTACTTGATCCGCGTTGTATGCATACGATCAACCTCGTACCCAGGGTTTCCCCTACGAAGGAAAACCATGGGTACGAACGAGTTTGTTTGCATGGGCTACGATTCCATCAAAAAACAAGTCGTGTATAGAGTTTGAGATGCATTATTTAAAAAAAACGCAACGCTCAATGACATAAATCTCAGCTTGTTTTCCACTGGGCGATTTTGAATTTGGAGAAATTTCGACGGAAATAAAATCGAGACGACCAACGTTTCGACCATGGGAGTTTTCTATGAATCTGTGATAAATTTGTTAGCACGGAAACAATTTCGTCTACAAAACTGCCAACAATAGAAGGTGAGGTTACTTCTCAACTGCTACTGACGAACTTTTCGATAGAGTGATTTTCGGGTCGCACCAACCATTAATGCCTGGCATGGTCAGTTTCATTTAGTCGAAAGTGTCGTGAACATCAAGGTGGCTGATGCGAAGCCGGAATATTTCTATACTGTGACAGTGTGTGTAGTCAACAATGACCGATTTGAATACATAAATTAAGAGAAATTGACATCTACAGTAGACTATTTCTGATCGGTGAAAATGACTTGTTTACGACGATTACGATCGAATGGAAACCAGGCTTAAATAGCGTAATATTTCAGTGACCCATGTCCGCAATCCGCGTCTTCGTCAGGCGGGGACAAATTGATTGCAAATTAAATTGCGGTATACAATCACTGCACGGTGTCCATATCGTACTGATAGTGATCTCGCCCAGACGTATACAGCTCAATACCAAAGATATAGTTGTAGTTTACGCTGACGACATGCTGAGAAGATTGAGGGTATTTTATTATCTGAAATTTAAATGCTCCTTGTTAAGGTTTTCATAACTTTGTTTGAGATATTGGCTTGTTTCCGTAATTGGTGTCTTATACATGTACGCAGCTTTGTTGTGTATGTCATCAGCTTTTCAAGCACCCTTCCTTGTTTCCACGCAAGCACTGACAAACAGTTCTGACATTTTCACAACGTGCCGACGTATTGCAGAACTCGTATATAAAGGCCATGCAAAGCCGATTGTGGTTTGAGACGTGACTTCCAACTATAGATTAGTGTTCACCTATTCCTAAATTGTGGTATATAGATTTATTTATACACAATATCTACAGTTACTCATTGTTATTTACCCAAATACTTCACAATAGAAGTTATTCCGCAAAAAGGAAGAAGTTTGTTATTAACTCGAATGGATAAGGTCCGTGTCATTATCTTCTTCTGAACCTGGTACATACAACAAGCAAATTCTGGTTAACCGTTTGGTTGACAGTTGATTAAATTAACCTTAAAATATGTAAATTCAAAACACTACGAATTCATATGTAATTCACAGCTTTACTCAAACAGTTTGATATAAAAAATAAAAGAAAACTAGCTTAATCGCTATACTATAATCGTCTATACTGAACTTTCAGGTAAGAACAATGTTAATTCAGTGGTATTGAGCATGAATGAACGTGTTTTTTAAGTCAAAGACGCGCTAACATTGTGAATAACTCACAGTTGCCAACATCATTCTACTCAGTATAGCGACTTGTTTTTTATAATGTCCTAAACATTCACAGAGCACCATAAACCCCTATATGTCGAAGTTAGCAGACTAAAGAATTTAATTTATTTTTTTCAATTTGCAATACAAAAAACGGAAACAATTATAGGTAAAAAGTTCTTTGTATTACCTATGTTACCAGCTGGTCAGCTATTCAAACAAACCATTTTTGTCTTTTCACAGCTTATTAATATAGTGTAACACCTTATCCAAAGTTTTTTTTCAACACTGACGTTACTACATGGGCAGATTAGAAAGGAAAAACAGAACATCAGCACAGTCTATGAACAATTATAAACCGCTTAAAAACTTCATATTTATGTTTCATTTTCCTTTATTTAGGTCACGGCATAAATATGTACAATATAATTGCTATTCCAACGCGTTTTACCAATAAATATATAGGCAAATTATACAGCGAAAGAGATTGCCCTTGGCTTGACAATTTCGCACTACAATCACAAGTGCGTAACTCAAATCTATATACAGCAGCTATTTATTAGCTTTCAATTCATCGAAAATTTATTACATTTCAGTTCTATGTACACAATAAATGGATATTTTCATATTTATAAGCTTGCGTGGTTGGTAGGGCAACCGCCAGTTGCCTTCGACTATGAAATTCAATATTAAGTGAGGTTTAGTGTGAATGCTTGGCGTGGGCTAGAATGATTTGAATGAAATATGTTACATTAAATGAAAAATCCGTAGCGTTGTTATTCAGCGAATATTTACCTACGGTACTATTAAATCCTAAAGGAAGTCTTTGACCACTATTGAATTTCAGTAAGAATGCCTAAGCTACTTATTTATTAACAAGCGAGAAATTTTGACTCACGAGAGGAGCCGTGTCCTTGTATTATGTCCAAGTTTAATGCGACTTCGACAAGTAAATCCATACTTGACAAGTGATTATTCGCAGTCAAATTTTCGAGCAGGGATAATGTAGCGTCGCTGTTGTTAGTCAGGGTGGTAGCTACGGGTATACAACGTGCGCTTAGTCTGTCCTCGCAAACCTCGGGGGAGTGGGGAAGATGCTCGGAATGTTCGGAGTCACAACTCGAAACCGACTCAACGTCGCTAAAAGTGGCCGAGTCATATTTCGTTGTGTAATCGTCGTTCGTACTACTCCGTCTCGAGCTGGCACTGCTTGTGCTGCCCGTACTTTTCGTTGTCCTTCTCGTTATTGTGTAATGACTTGGGTCATGGCCCTCTCGTCTGATCATCTCAGGCAGTATACGTCGCCTTGCGTTAATGAACCAATTGCAGACCTGCAACACGCTCAGGTTCGATGCACGAGACAAGTGTTGCTTCTCGCTTTCCGACGGGTAAGCGTTAAATCGATGCTCCCAAAGCCACAATCTCAGGACATTCACTGAGTCCTTCGGTAAATTTCCTCGGCGTTTCTTCGGTGAAGACCCTCCGTTTCTAGCGTGACCACGTGAAGGAACAAGACCATCCCTGGTGGGGGGGCGGCCAGAATCAAGCTTCTTTGCCAGCTTCATGTCAAATGCTATAAAAATACGCCAATTTTCACAGTCACGAAATCGTTTAGGATGTTTAAACTTCAAACAATATCATACAAGAGTGTAACTAAGAGACCTCCTACACCTTTTACAAAAAGGAAACTCTTGACGCTTATAGCTACTGTAAAATGAACAGTTCAAATGTAATATGATAATTGTATAGTATGTATATATACATATATATATATGTATATATAGATATATACACTTTCGATGGGGTTTCGTCTGATGTTCTATTATATATATCAGCGGTTGGTAGCTCTTGGTGTGTGAGATTGCTCTAGTTCTAGGGAAAAATTTGCGCTGTTGACTCGAGCTGTCAAAAATACCCAAAGCAGCGAAGCGAGTGAAGACCACGTTTTAGCAGGCCACAGATTGCATTGACCTCTATGTGTTAGGATTAATGAAAGAAAAATCACATATATGATGGCCATAATTCGTTGCTAGCTGATAAAGCAAAGGTTTGGGGGATCCAGGTAGACTCACGCGATTGCGGTCGCAGGAATATATCGTCAACCGAGCCGCGTAGAGTCTAATATGTAGAGCCTTATTTCAATATGTTAACAGAGTGATGGACTGTGCTAGGCGCCTCCTGATTCGAACTAAAAGGGACTTTACTACAACGTCTGTTCACCCAAGGGAAAGCCACAGCTGGTAGTTATGGAATTACAGTGTGGTTTAAAACCCGATCCTTGAAGCGGTTTCGCATTCAGAGGGGAAACATTAGACACACATAATCACGCTAGTCATTCTTGTCAGATTGGATACCTGATCTCTTTTCTCTTGAGCTCTTTGAATTCTGTGGGGCCATCGAAGTTATCATAAAGTTTTCAATTCAACAACTTGTTTCAGTCGGACACCGACGATTCGATAGTTGGGAATCTTTTGTATATTTCAGCAATGAGTATTTACTAAGCCTGTTCAATAGCCAAGCACTGCACTCATTTGACAATTATGACAGTTAGACCATGCAACAACCCGGCTCTGTTGTATTGTGTTTATACGATTTGATGCAATCGGAGCGAGCTGATTGGCTGGATGCCACTCTGTATTTACATCATTTCGCATTCCTATTGGCTAATGCTCCCAATTGCCTTAACAAGCCCACGTGGACTTACAAATTTGCAGCAAAGATCTAAATCTTTGAGTGCTTCCTTCATCTCCTAGGAGAACTCGACTTGACATTTGTATTAGACCGTGTCTGATGATAGCTCAAAAATATTCTGCATTCACACTCGTTTGTTTGTTTTGACAGGCACATGGTGAAATTTGCCGTTGGGAAAAAAACCAGACAAAATATACATTTGCGTTACGTCGACAACGGGAAATCACATTCAAAAGCCGCTAGGATTTAGAACTTGAACTGTCAAAGTACATGGAATGCTCGCTATTTGAGTCCTGTCATAGTTGGTCCTGTCAAAGTCTCAAAGACCCAATCTCTTATTTCATGAAATTTATATTGTCGAAAGTAACGCACTATTTGGGGAAGCCTACAAAATCAATGCGTGCATTTTCGGGTTTATGATTTTCTGTCATGAACAGAGAAGGAATTTATATGATATTATATATTCAGCGTGGTACTGAAACTAACGCCGTAACGCCGTATTGTCATTATGTCAACATAATTAAAGTTGACTCAAGCTTATTAAGATCACGATGCATGTACCTCGCGCTTGCAACTTTAGAATTAGAGTTTACGTTACAGTGTTTCGAATCTATCTGAAAAATGCGATATTAAACCGGTCAGACCTATCAAAATTTTAAATGACGTTTCAAACATTAACTGATATTAAAACTACAGTGACACAATATGTACGCGCGCTTATAATCGGAATGCAGCATATATATATACTATCAGACTAATATCTTTTTCTTTGGCTTTGCATCTCGATAGGCTCACAGCGATTGTATTGCTGGCTGATGGAATACGCGGAAAGAATTTTAATATGTACAATTTTTGGGCATGAGCATTAGAAGCAGTTGTATTTTGCATTCAGGAAAGTGCAACTATATTAAAGGACCTATATAGTCTATACAAATTTAGGCTTTAATAGGTCTTTGAAATTGAATACAATTCTGATCGAGTGCTCCACTAAGAAAACTCCCAACTCATTAAAAGTCATCAATTTCATCGATTGAATCAGAGCCAATTCAAATGACACAATGAATACATGTATTTGCATGGGATATAGCGCTGCGGTTGGGTTTTGACATAAGCGTCATCACTAAGTAAGGATTAACCACGTATACAATAATCAATATACATTTCGTGAGTCGTGACATTCGAAATTTTCGGGATAAATCTACTTTCGTATTTATATATGCTCAATTTATAATCCGTATCAATTTTATATAATGTAATATATAAGGGTAGAAAACATTAAACTAGAATAAAGTTTTCTCTCTTCCCTCTCTCCACTAGTGGACAGTGGTTGCCTAACAGGAAAATCTATCGGCCTATCTATATGCTTTTCAGATTAATAGTTGGCATAGATTAGACTTTTGAGGAAAAATAAGTGGGGAAAACTGAAAGTATGACTCTAGCTTTAAATTGATTAATCTCGAAATACTATATATAGTCTAAAAAGAATATATAACTGATTATATAATTGCATAAACATTTTTTTGCAAATGGGGTGTTGAAGGCTTTTGCTACGATTGTTGTAAACTTTCATGCATGTTTATAGTAGACTGTTTCATAGGCTTGACTGCGCAGAAATGAAGTGACCTTTGACCATAATCAGTCCTGTTTTAAATTTTCTATAATCCAGTATGATCAAGTTCACTGTAATTCTGCCCGATGTACTGTATGTATATAGAGAGGTGAGTGATTGCTGTTAAAATTATGGAGTCGTAGCAAACCACATGGTGTCCATATATGCATAGTCCCTGCGTTAAGCGTTTCAACTGATGCATTTAATGATACATCACCATAAGTTATATTATCTAGATACGATGCAAATTCTTATTATGCACGATTTTTTTCACTGTGGTTAAATTTGCATGTACTTATATTTCAGGCATGTCATGCATGAAATGAGTCTTGAGTCTTGCAGAGTTTTTGACTGTATGATTTTTTAATTAAGAATTAAAATTTCACTGTACAATTCTTGGGTCTCATGTGACGTCATCATCCCAGTTGTCAGTGGGGGTCAACTCGAAAACGCGACACACTTGTTTTGCGCTTAGTAGCATATATGTAAAATTTCGTATCATTTGCTCACTCCTGTGCAGCATAAGCGTCCAGACAATCGAGGTTGACCCCCACTCAAATCATTATGAAAACGCTTAGTTAAACCATTTTAAACCCACCAATACATAACGGAAATTCAATCTATCAGGATTACCCATGCAAATTAGGGCACTAGCTGTTTCGTTAGTGCAGTCAACAATTATACATGCATGTTATAATAAAATTTGGTATAATTGTTTTATAATATAACCCCATTTTAAAATTGTGTTTTATGAAATCTTTCAGTTAAATTAAGTCGGTTTACTCTAAGTCGGTGAATCTTCAAAACGAAGATTTATTACAACTTTTATGCAATTCCCTGAAAGATTAGTGATGGAAATTAACCACACTGCATCATATTTGTCACAGTTTTTGAAAAACTACTTGGTTTACGAAACCAAATTTTCAACTGCATGTCAACGAGAAATTTCACTGCGTAAACCTGGCCTAAATCTTCCTAAACACCCGATTAGGTGAACCATAATTAAGATCTGGGATCCGCCCGAAAAAAGTATATGAATCCCACCTCTAAGATTTGCCGGTAATAAGTGCATGGGACAAAAAAATGACGACGATTAATTAGGGTTAAAGTTTAAATCTGCATTGAAACGACAATATCACTATCAGCTTCTGAAATTACATCAAAGTAGAATAAAATATCCAAATTATGAGTAAAAATGTCCAACTGAATTTTCCTAGAGAATAATTGATAACATATTTGACATTAAATACTGAATTACATGCAGGTATTCAGTTGCAAGCCGCATGGTGGTTAAATTTTGGAATATCTATCTGCGTTGTGTATCCACGTTTTCTAAGTCGAACGAATTTCTCTTATACTTAGCGTGGTCAAACTAGGATTGGAGTTCAGCTAGTTGACGAAGGCTTGCGTGCTCGCCAACTTTGCAAGAGATGCGGACAGCATATAGGTAAAGGGGCTTAGAGGTAATGCTTAGCACATTCAGCGGCGGGTTGAAACACATAGCATGACGAGACTTGTCAAACTAGTTTCTGCACGCGCGCTGATGTCCTTTTTTTACATCTTGATTCAAATCAATCTTTCAAGCCTCATGCTGATCAATGCAATAAATGTCATGCAATTAAAACGACTATGGGTCACGGAGTTGAGAACTCGCATACCTCAGTGTCGCTATGAGTAGTTAAAGATGGTCATAAATCCTCGGTCCGTTCAAGCCAGCAAATGGTGTTTTTTTGGAATAAACTATAATCATGTTGATCACCGGCAGAGTGTTTAGTAAATAAATAAATGATCAATTACGCCAGATTCCTGCCCTGCAAACACATGCAAAAGAGCGTTTCTTAATTAACTAACTATGAAGGCATTTCTCCTGATTTTCTTATAGAATTAGCCTTTCTCATGCACGATGACGAATGTGCCGCCATGTTTGGGGTACGTTTTTTTAAAATTGTGAGCGCAAGACCTTGTCAGGGCGGCTGTCGTTAATTTTTGGGGTAACTTATTGTTCAAATGTTCTATTGACTCTTAAAAAATACTTTTTAGATTATTATTATTGTTTAAACGCATTTAAGAAAATTGCATGAGAGTACCCCCAAAATGGCGGATATTCGTCACCGTGGCTAACTGGCCCTTCTGCCGGCATGCACCAGGGCGGCAGACACTCTCTTTACTGCAGTAGTCAAAATTCGTTAAAAATGCCCTGGATCACAACACGTGCAAAGATGATATTTTTGTGGGTAAACAACCAACAAGGATGTAAACACGTGTGCAGACGATTCTAAGTTACGCTGGCCCGTGTATCGTCAGCCTGTTGTTGCTGCATGCACGCGTTGTTGTCTCAGCCCGCTATAGCTCTCAGATGTTATTCGTCATATCCGTGCATGCTAACTTACTAGTCTTATACTTAAACGTGAGAAAAAAACTAAAGTGTTTAAATGCACTCATATAGTCACTATAGTAACCGAGAAAGTTCTCTTTCAGAGAACTAATGATCTCGACGTAATAATCCTGAGAAAATGTGTTACCTTAGATGAATACTCTATTTAGTCTTAGGGTACTTAACGCATGATATAATAGTTATACATAGTTCAGTGTAAATCCTTGTGCAAACTAGAAGAGGTGTAAAAGACGGAGACGGAGTATCCATCTTAATTAATTGAACGCCTAACCGAGTATACTGAGGTACAGGTGTATTCAATCGACGTTTCTCTATACGGGGCCGCGGCGAGAGAGAGGGCCCCGGGCAATATTGTGGTATGACAGTCGTAGGGTACCAAAGAACCACCGGTATACGGTATACCTACACTGAAAGAGGACAAACTGACGAGCCACTAGCTAGCGTAAAAAAGCTCAAATTCAAAGGCACTAGATCGCCACAAACGGCACTCAGATTCAAGTATATTGGAACATTACCTTCATCCCGGCCTGACGTAATTATCATCTCCTTTCAACGCTCTAAGTACAGTAAATGATCCGGGACTATTTTCACCCCTCCTCCATAGTTTGAACTACTGAACGCTGGAAATACAGCCTACGAGTTTTGGTGGACGATTATAGCTAGTGTGCTATCTCTGCTTTGAGATTAGATCACAACACCATAGATGGTGTTCAAGGGTATACACTTCTAGAATAGCCGGTATATCCAGAGAATTTATAAACATTAGTGCCAGCACAAGGTGCACCAAATAAGCCCATAGAGCCGGCCATAGAGGTAATAAATAACACTAGAGGAGGCATT